AGCTCCTCCGGATATGGCCCAAGCTCCGTCAGGAACCTCTCCGGGTCCATCAGGCGCCTGGGACGGAACCATCTATGCGGTTCCGTCTCCCTGCGGTGGGGGGGAGCGGTCCGGAAGTCCATCCTAAGGAGTGAATGATCTGACCATGACAGGGGCTCTATGACTATCTCCCCCATTTCCAGATCATTCCGCCACTGGCCGGAGACAAAAATTAGATCCAGTGTGTGTCCTCCCGTGTGAGTGGGGGCATGAACTAATTGGGTCAGATCCAAGGCTGTCATGTGAGCCAGGAACTCCCGAGCTGCCGTCGACGTTTCGCCCGCCGATGGCAGATTGAAATCCCCCATGACTATAAGTCTGGGGGTCTCAACTGCCACCCCGGCTATTACGTCAGCCAGCTCAGGCAGGGCTGTTGATACATAGCAGGGGGCCAGGTATATAATCAACAGGCCCACTTGTACCCCTTGTCCCCACTTCACAAGGAGGGACTCCCCACTGTCTATCTGAGGCACAGTGGTCTCCCTCGGACATAGGCTCTCCCTTATAATGACCGCTACCCCACCGCCCCTACCCCGGGTCCTCGGCTGGTGGAATACATGGAAACCCGGCGGGCAAATATCAACGAGGGGCACTCCTTCTTCCGTGCCCAGCCAGGTCTTGGTGATACCTGCCAGGTCCGCACCCCCCTCTTGGATAAGATCTTGGATGAGGGGGGCCTTGTTTACCACGGACCTGGCGTTGCATAACATCAGCCGGTGATCCCGGGCCCGAGGATCTAAGATCCCTGGAAGCCGAGTAGAGCCCTGAGGACTGGAGCACCCACAAGCTTGTAAACAGCGTGTGCGTGCTCCCAAAAACCGATATGGTCCTCTGCTCCCGCCATATCTGCCCCTCCCACTGACCGTACTAATCACACCACCCTCCCTTAACCCCCCAACCTCCTCCCTCGCCGTTCTAATACCGCATTCCTCAGACAGGTCTGGCCTTGGCCTCAGGGAGGCATCCCCCGTGCCCCCCCTGGCCGTCCCCGAACCCCCTAAAAATTTGACAAAACACCCCTCTAAAAAATCTCTTAATTTTCTTTTCTTTGATTCCCTTCTTGCTGCATACCACCTCTCGGGGTTCCACACCCCTTCATCGAGGCAGGCCCTTAGGATTGTACTAGGCCATGCCTGCACGAGGGGGGAATCGCGCAGAGCCAGCAGTTCCGTCCTGAGGTACATTCCGATCGTCAACGGGAGGTCCAACAGCAGAAGAGGGGGGGGAAATTCCTGTATTGCCTTGGGCTTATCGAAAACAGGCGAACCGCTCTCCATGCCGCCTCCAACTGCTGGGTTAGTCAGGATTCCTGTGGTTGTACCGGCCCGTCCTGTTAGGCTTTTGCAGGGGTGGCTCCGCCCAGCGGTCGCTTTCGAGGCCGGTCCACCCTCCCAGTGTCTTTCCGGGAGCTGCAAGCATGGCTCCTCGCTCTCGCCCTCTTTTGTCTCGCTTTCTCTTTCGCTGCTTTCGGCACCGGCGCCGCCTCACAGTTTCTCGCCTCTGCGGCTCGAAGAGCGAGTCCCCTCCTGCTCGGTGGATGGCGAAGAGGCGGCTGCTCCGAGGAGTCTACGTGGGCTTGGAAGGAAGGCAGGCGTGGGGAGTAAGGGGAGGCGACTCCGCCGCCGCACGGCCTTCCGCTTCTTCCTGTCGCTTGGCGGTGCAGCGCCGTTTCCCGCTCCGCTGCTCGCCACCGGCTCGGCTCGGCTCGGGCTGTTCGAGCGAAGCAGGCAATAGAAGTTTCTCTCTTCAAGCTGCTTTAACCCCGATTATTGTTTAATAATCGATGGCTGCGTGATCGGAGAAGGAAGCCTCTGCTTGGTGCTTGTGGCATCTACAGGGCATCCTCCTTCTCATCGAACACGGGTCTTTTGGAAGACGAGGAAGAGGTGCTGGCTCCCATCCTCTTCTTCCACTTGCTCCAGTGAAACATTGGCAGAGGAAGCGAATTGGCATCCCCTAAAAAGTCCCAGAGATCGGGGCGAGCCGGGCGCGGCGACGGCGGCAAAGCGGGAGAGCCGGAATCCCTTTGAGATGGATCTCGCGTGTTCGCGCGCCTGTGTGTAAACGAGTCTGAGGATATTGATGTGAGAAAATGTAAACAACAAAAGAAGTAGACAAGCTTGGGATGGAAATTGCTCATAACTCATCTGAAGAAAACAGATTCAGCAGCTGAACTGTTTTTAATCCAGTTATGGCTCTTTCACAGTTTCCTAACCTTTTCGTTATGTCCATCTGTAAAAAACATTATGCTATTAAACAGACATAAAGAAACAAATAAAGAAAATTTTATAGCAGAATGGCAGATTTAGAAGCTATACAAGACATGACAAGCTATAGGAAGGCATTACAATTACAAATGGGATCAAAACTAATTGTAGAAGATCAGTCTGTAGTAGATGTATTTATCTCCATAGTGTGTCCTAGAGGTTTCAAATTATTGTTCTCCAACCATTTTTCATTTCTTTTGAAGAGAATAACTTCCTGAAAAAACTGATTGTAGGAAATCTTGTTAAAATGAACAGTTTATTTTTATTTGCTTGGCCCTGTGTGCATGTACATTTTATTTTTATCTTATCTTTTTACAGCTTGTCTTCAGTTTAACAGATGTGAACCCTGTATCATGTCTCAGATTGGCTTCAACTGCAGTTGGTGCAATAAACTCCAAAGGTAAGAAGCTTGTTACTCTTAACCTTTGGTACACAGTGGCCTTGAGAACAAATCAATTTTTCCTTTCGCCCATAGAATAAATGGGTTCTTTTAATTCAGCTAATTTATTGCCTCAAATTTCTTTTGACCTTTTCAGTTGTGGTAAGGGAAGTTATAAGGTTCCTGTCTCAGATTCCCAAGAGATCTTAATTGGTAGCCAGACTCTTCCAGCATAATTAACACTCAGAAAAAAATATTCCTTGCCATGCTTGGTGGGAGTGTCCTAGAATTACAGGATATTGGCAAAAAGTATGAAATATAATTGAAAGTGCAACAGACTGTCCATTAAATCAGTAGCCAACAGTGGTTCTATGAGTTAATAAATAAGCTTTTATTGTAAACACAGTGCAAATGTTACTCGTTAAAAAAATTTAAATATTAAGTTATATATGGATGTATGTAGCTAAAATTAAAGAAAGGCTAGAATGAAAGAGGGTTATAGCCCAATGTTTCTGGAAATTGTCTAAATGAAAAAAATGTGTTCAGAATATAAGTTACATGTGGCTACTTATTAGGATTTCTTATCCAATTATAACACCTTAGCTTCAGCAATCAAACAGAAGCATGTTCCTTTTATTTATGGAGAGGAGCAATTGGAGGCAGGTGTCTAATGTTATTGGTGGCTACCATAGTAGACTAGTAGAAAATTCCACCTCCATCCCATCTATGTAATGAATTTTTTAATTCATTTTATTGTTAACTTAATGTTTTAACTTTGCTGCCCAGTGTTTTCATCTTTTGATTTTTAATTGTTTTATATCATAATTTATAACATTGTAAACTGCCCAGAGTTGCCTGATAGTAAGATGAGTGGCATATAAAATAATTAATTAATTAATTTAGGCCATTTATTCTGAATAGTTGATGACATACAAACACTTATTCCCATCTTTTTGTAAAAAAAATAAGTATCAAAACTAAACCTTTGAAAAAAAGATTAAAATATCATCATGTAAGTACACTCTAATATACACACAATTGGATTTAACACTTGTATAACAATAAAATGTAGAGGTGAAATGTTCTCTGAAAGAATCCACAAGAAATATTTAATTCCTACATTCAGTGTGATAGACCACAAACTGGTAATAAATAAGTGCATTCAACATAATGAAATAAATGCTTTAGAATATTTTATAGTGAACCCTCTATATAAAAATCAATTATTTTCATCATCATTATATCACTATATAAAAATCAATTATTTTCATCATCAGTGATATAATACAGAATTCACTCATCATAATTTAATCTGTCCTTGAATACATCTCCAACTGTCTTATGGTGCAATATGTTTACACATTTTATAAAATACTCAATGAAATTCTATATGACTGAAATACAGGAGAGTCATTTAACAACACATTTACAAAAGAAGGCTTTTTGGAACATCAGATTGAATACAGTCCATATAAAAGGTGTATATTGGACTTCTTAAAAAATTAAAGAACTAATTATCACATGATTGAATAAGAAGTTTGAAAGAAAGGCCTTTAAATATTGTGAAGTATTTGCATTTATAAGGTATGTCTCATTTCATCAAAGATATATTAAGGATGATTGGAAGGAATTAACTCTGTACTTTAACTTGCAACAGAAAGGATCAGGAGTGTACATATCAAATCATAACAAGCTATAATTCTATTAAATACTCATAAAAAATTCACATCTAATACATTGGTATAATATTCCGGAAAATTTTGAAAACTATTCCTGAACATTTAAATTTGTCTTTGGGCCTGTTATGGCATTTTGTTTTCTTGTTTAAAGTTCAGCTCTTATGCGATTGTAAATAATGGTGTATATAACTCTTCAGAAAAAAAACTTATAATTACAAGTTCAAAAGTTTGAATATTTTTCATAATGTAGTTGTATGTGTTAATCAAGGTCAGAACAGGTTACACTGGTGGATCTATTCTCATATTACTGATGCAAGGATCTTGTCAAAACATGAGCATAAAAAAAATTAATGTTCCTAGACAGTACCATAAAACTTTCTAATTCAGTTATTCTCAATATCATATAAAGTGCCACCAATTTTCAATGTCCCACATTGTGTTCAGTAGGACTTTTCTGACTTACTCAGTCTTTCCTAAGTTGGTTTGGCCACAGTATTTGTATTTTTTGGCATTCAGTAGGGTATCAGGAAGAATAATTTGAGAGTCACAAAATAAATGAAATTTAAGTAATAGTTCTGTAGGTTTAATTTTTAAAAAAATATTCTTAGCTGCTGACGTTGTTGGCATGAATGAATTCAACTGCTGCACTGTTATGTAAACCAAGCTGTGTTGCTGGTTGTTCTTGTTTTAAATGCTGTTGTACTTTTAGCTTTAGAAAATAGAGTTGGAAATTCTACTTGTTAATGATAGGATAATGGCAAAGGAGGGAGGAAAGGCCTTCAGCTTTTCAAAGGTTTTCCAGCAATCTAATGAGGCTCTGGGGGACATATGTAATGAAGGACCAAAGGAAGAGGTTGTGCCATTCAAAGGTTATGAACACACCTAACAGTCTGATTAGATGAGTATTTTCAATTAGATTTTTCCCCCTTCCAAATTATATTTTATCATTCTTAATAGAAATAATGAACAGAAATAATATTCACAGAAACTGAAAGAAATCAGATTACAAGGAAATAGCAGACCTGATTTGTGTTTCCTCTTATTCCATGTTGTGAACACTGTTCTGCCACTTTGAAAAGTTTTTCTTGGCAGGATTAGGTTATAGGTCAATGTATAAGATGTGCTAACTAAAATAGTGGTCTGGCACCAGGGAGATCAACTTCTGGTTCTTACTTTAGACATAGAAATTCAGCATTGACTTTTGGTCTCTTATCTGAACCCAGCCTACTTCAAAGATTCTTACAACCATTCTTACAACTTATAATCAACTTTCAACCATTTATTTAGCAACAGTTTAAAGTTACAACAGCACTGGAAAAAAATGACTTATGACCCATCCTCAAAGATACAATGGCGATACCACCCCCAACAGTCAAGTGATTACAGATCAGATGCTTGGCAACTGATTCACATTTACAACAGTTGTAGGGTCTTCTGCTCATATAATCACAATTTGCAATTTCCCAGCTGGCTTCTGACAGGCAAAGTCAAAGGGAGGAGCCGGATTCACTTAACAACCATATGGTTTGCTTAACACCTCCACGATTCTATTAATAACTGTAGTAAAATGGTTGCAAATTTAGATGCAGTCACAATCAGCGATGATTTGCATAACAACCACATCACTTAGCAAATAAAATTCCAATCCCAATTGTGTTTATAAGTTAAGAACTACCTGTACTTGGGGGGGGGGGGATGGAGGAGTAGTGTTATGTATGCCTTCTGAATGAAAGCCTGGATATGCATCTAACAGATGAGTACAGTTGCAAATGTAACAAAAGTAAATGCTTGCTGAGAAACACAGTACTTTTCTCTGACTACTCCTTTGATGCTGAATCTCCTCTCCCCATTCATAAAACGGGAAAGTTCACTTTCAATTCTCTGGAAAAAAATAAAATTTGAGGCATCAGTTGTGCTCACAACAGAGGTATAATGAAGGTATAATTGCCAACCTTTCGGCAGTTGGCCCCTCTTATGGCAAGTACATGCTAATGCAACTTTCCTCTCTTCTTTTTGGCGTAAGGTTGTAAATGCTTGTTCTCTTCACTGCTATTTTCCTAAGAATAGCGATGAGGATTAGCCTAGTAAAAGTGAAAGTAAGTGATGTCAGTGGATATAGCTGTGGAATTGAAAGAACACTGCTGTATCCAGATTGGGGATCACTTCTCAACAGGATTCAGTTGGGAGAACCACAGGATGTACAACATAAAAATAAATAAAATTTAAAAATTGACACAGTTGCTGGAGGAAGGGATGTAGTCTGTGGGACCAGTATGAGGACCCCCAAATTTCTATAGCCCAGCCCTCTCCCCCCAACCCACACATTCATATCCATCCATATTTGTTAATGCTTTGCACAGTATACTCCACTTTTAATTAAGTGGTTATTATTTCTGATTCTGGAATTAACCAGTATTCATCCCACATAATCTTACATTCATGGTACTGCTTCTGCCTTAACTTTAATAAAATAATTGTTGCATCAGTTTTATTAAGATGAATCTGTGTTGTTCCATTTCAGGGTGGTATTATTTTATTAATGGCATACAAATAGTAAACAAAGTCCAAAAACTTACATTCTGTATTCTCAATACGTGCTGAGTGGTTTAAATTTTAATTTTCATAGGATTTGTTATTCTGGATTGCAATAAAAAAGTATATTAACAAGACTAATTTATAAATGAATTAAGCAATTTTATTGCATTTGTGTATTTTATTCCTAATTCCCAGTGGTACTGCTTTAATGAATTGCAATTTCAGTAAAATATATGATCTTGTATTTTTAAATCCTGTTGTGGAAAAAAAATAGCTTTTACATCAAATTAGAATGTGTACTTTCAAATATCACTTCCTCGCCTCACAAATCTGGGTTTGGAATTGATCCAGCACTGGTGTAGAGCAATTTGTGATGTTGGCTTACACGAATAAAAACAACATGCCTACTCGATGGTGATAGGTAAAGGCCTGATGCAGCCTAGGAAGCCAACAAACATATTGCAATTAAATTAGATGAACTGAGATTGCATAAAGCAGATTTCCCATAATGGCTGGGAATTATTGAGACAGAGGTTGTGATGTATTGAAATTTTGAAGTTAAAATACACTACATTGGGAGAGAAAACATTTAGTAAAGTTGTTGTAGAATAACATACAAATCTAGAAATGTAATAAAGTGCACTTTTAATATGCTGATCAAGTGGCGTAGGTGAACTTCACATACAGTTTGTGTTACACAATCCAGAATCAGAAACTGCATGAGAATGAGACCTATTCCCAGATAAGGAGATATTCAATTGTAGAACAAGTTTCCCTCTGGCATATTAAGAAAGTTATGTACAGTAA